TCAAATCTATTGCTTAGTGATGGTGCATTGCAATTGACAGGTATGTGGATGTTTCAACAGTTGATGGTTCCACATCTAAATTGATCAATGAACATATAAAAGCAACTGGGGCATTATTTCTAGAGGTAAAGTTACAACTTACAAATTGGTTTTATCTTATAAAGCTTTGCACTCAATTAAAGCACAAACAAATTGAAATATACATTTACTTCAGCAATTCTACAATACCAAACTTTCCATTGAGCCTTTTTTCTTTTGCAGGCTCCAGTTTCAGGCTCCAAAAAGCCTGCAGAAGATGGGCAGCTGATATTTCTTACTGCAGGTAAGTCATTGTTGTTGTTTAGAATATTCATTTTTTGTTCCATGGTGGGTGTCACTATTAACTGCCCTCAAAAAAGAAAAAAATGATACCGAATGCTGTTGAACTTTTTTTGTGGTGTGTCTTATTTGAGTATTGTACATGTGCTTCAAATCTTTCTTCCACTACTGTTCATCTACTGTTTGATATCTGTGTCATAGGATACAGTAAAAGCACCTTGCAGAAACTGAGGTGATAATACCTTTATCTTTCAGGTGACAAATCTCTATATGATACAGTTTCTCCATTCTTAGACATCATGGGAAAGGTATTTTAGCTTATTAAATATGCATCCACAAACTGAGTCATCTGATTCCATGGCCATTTATTTCATACATTTTTTTTTTCCTGCTCGCTTCCCCAGTCAAGATTTTACCTTGGAGAGGTTGGAAATGGAGCTGCAATGAAGCTTGTTGTCAATATGATCATGGGGAGGTTCTGCACGGTTCTTCTATGTTAAACTCTTTTCAATTTGTGCAGCTGGTAATTAGCATCTGTATGATGACAATACTGCTTTCATGTTTCCAACTCACAGCATGATGGCATCATTTTCTGAAGGATTGCTTTTAAGTGAAAAAGTAGGACTCGACCCAAATGTACTAGTTGAGGTATTCTCTGAACCGACATTAATTAATGCTAAGCAATTTCTTTCTTATCTTCATCCTCAAGAAATTCTTGCCCGAGCCGCTTATGAGACATTTTCATTCTGGTGCTACTGCAGGTAGTCTCACAGGGTGCTATTAGTGCCCCAATGTACTCACTTAAAGGTCCATCAATGGTCAAATCTCTCTATCCAACAGCGTTTCCCTTGAAGCATCAACAAAAGGTTTGTAGTTTCCCTACTCTGTTGACTTCTCAAAAACAAAACACATGCTGCCATCTAACATCAGAGAAACTATTGGTTGCAGGACCTAAGACTTGCTCTGGAATTAGCGGAATCTGTTTCTCAATCAACCCCTATTGCAGCAGCAGCAAATGAGCTATATAAGGTGGCAAAATCACATGGACTGAATGATGAAGATTTTTCAGCTGTTATTGAAGTACTGAAAGCAAAGTCAAAGGAGTAGACATTATAGCAGATTCAGTCATTCCTTGGAGCTGATCATTAAACCATATCATCCACAGCTTGATTGATAATTTGGATATGCATGCTTCTAATAAATAAAATTTATTTAAGTAGAGCTTATTCTTGAAGTCTACCTTAAACTGTCAACTTTCTTTTTGTCTCCTAGTTCTAGATTGGCAGGAAAAATTCAGTTGTCATTGCAACCTGATTCATTAAGGTTGGAAATGAATTTCTTGCCCAGAATGGGAATTTTCCTTTTTTTTTTCCCGAGGCCGACCTGACAAACACATCTCTGATAAGAAAAAGGCAGAGGTTTTTCATTGAGCTGTCTAATAAAAAGAGGAAGCAGAAGTAGAAATTTCATTGAGCTGTCACTACAGGTTTTTTTTTTCTTTTTTTTTTGGCCGTATCTCAAATCTAATTCTTTCCTTACTTTCTTGTATTGATGAAGGTTAATTTTCTTAGGTGTTAGCCTAACAGTTGGGCCCTCAACCTAGCCAAAAGCAGCACCACCACGGCCATTGCTACCAAAACTTTCTTACACTCCATTTTTCCCTCCACTCCTGTTCTTAGCTCTTTCTTCGTGATGCAGTTATGCAAATGCTTGTTGCGTTATATAGTCATCATGGACAGACGCATGGACCTAAAGGTCCCTAACCACATACATATATCATGTCTTCCACTAACCCAATCAATAAATTAATGCACATGGAAAATGTTTGATATGTACCTAACAAACTCAAGTCAGCTTATTCAGGTTGCGTCTAGGATTTCTGTAAAGTGCTAGTGTTGTGGTTTGATTATACTGAACATAATTGTGACGAAAGTTATTATGCTGTTTAGTTATTTATTTTTTAAAAATATTATAGATAAAATATAATAGATTTTATTAATTATTAATTAAAAATTTAAAAATACTGTAAGATATATAATAATTAAAATAAATAATATTTATTATTTTTTAATAATTTAAGCTTTTTAATTTGTTATCATTATGAAAATATTATAAATTATGATATAATTAAATTATATAAAATTAAGTTTTAATAAGTAATTTTGTAATTATATTAAATATTAGATATTCTTTGTAAAAATCACAGTTTTTTATAAATCAATTGTGGATTTTTTACAATTTTTAGAAAAAATAATTTGAAAAAAAATTACCGAACACATATATACCTAAAAGTATTGTATAACTACACAAAAAAACTCTTAACTGCAATCACAAACACACTCTTAATTATAATGTTAGGTTACCTATTGTTTTCCCAAAGATTCTCCTTTTGGCTGTCACGTAACAAATGTGCTTCACGTGACAACCGAAAAGGAGGACTTTTGGAAATATACATGTTTTATAATTCGAACTACATTAACTATTTTTCTTATAATTTTTGTCCTGAGAATTGCAAAAGTTCAAATCACTTCCTATGACATGTGGATGCTGAATGTATATATTGATTCACACATCCATATGGCTTACCTGATATTTGTTTGTTTTTCCTTATATATTTATCTGTTACATGCTGGTATTTGAAGTTCAAATATACGAAAAATTGAAGGTTAGAATCATTGTTATAAAATTTGCGTCTTACACAAGGCTGGTCGACTGAGAAACAGACATCATTAATAATGTCATCTATCTAAATCAAGAAATCATTTTAGGGTAATCTAGCAAATGAAGAAGCATTCAAGAGTCCACAAATTCACCGTTTCATTCAGAGTTGAATATAGTGAAGTATCAGAACATCGACCTTGTACCTTACACTGCAAAGGAACTACTGAAACTACAGTAAACTTGTGACTTTGAAGACAAAATAACAGGCCAAATCTATACTAAAATCAACCAAATGAGAACAGGAAATGAAAATTTCCGTTGTGTATTTTTCTCACAAAGTAGGTAGAGGTGGAGAAGTCGACCTAATATGCTTCCTCCCTTAAAGCCTATTGTTCACAAATCCCTTGTTCACCCTCTTCCTGCATTCTCACATCAGTCAATTTTCACGGAGGAATATATCTTCCTGACGAACCAGAAGCATGCATAGAAGCCAATTGTCCCCGTCAAAACAAAGAAGGCGTAGGAAATAATTGTCATGTACCCGAAGTAAAGGATGCCTGATACTAGCTTTGTGATCTCCAACTTGGTGAAGAAATAGAACACTGAGTAGAGGAAAAGGTAAAGAGCAGAGGAGCCAGCAGTCAAGTAAGATCTCCACCACCAGTTGTAGTCTTCACTGCACAACTGGAAATAGCAGAGCACAATCGTGATCTCAGCACAAGTGATGATAAGAATCACAAACACTATGAAAAGGAAGCCGAAGATGTAGTAGAACTGGTTCAGCCATATTGAAGTCAGGATAAAGAAGAGCTCAATGAAAACTGCCCCAAATGGAAGAATGCCTCCAATGAGTATTGAGAAGACTGGCTTCATGTACCATGCCTGCTCAGGTATCTGCCTTGGAATTTTGTTTGTCTTCACTGGGTCTTCAATGGCTGGCTTTTTGAAACCCAGGTAACTACCAACAAAGACCAAGGGAACTGATATGCCAAACCACAAGCAAACAAGAGCAAACATTGTCCCAAAGGGTACAGCTCCGGAAGACTGTTCTCCCCATATTAGCGCATTCAGTACAAAAAAGACAGCAAAGAGGATACCTGGAAACATGAATGCAGTTTTTAAGGTATTCCTCTTCCATTCTGTGCCCTTGAACATTTTGTATAGACGTGCTGAGGAGTAACCAGCAAATAACCCCATGAAAACCCACAAGAGCACCATAGCGGTCATGAGGCCCCCTCGGTTTGAAGGAGATAAAAAGCCCAGCAAAGCAAATATCATTGTTACAAGTGTCATTCCAAAGATCTGGACACCTGTACCAATGTAAACACAAAGTAAACCATAATTAAGAGGTGCTCTGAATACATCTCCGTGGACAAGTTTCCATCCCGTTTCTTCTTGAGCCTCATCTTGCGTCTCCAACTGATTGTAGTTTGCAATATCTTTATACAGTGTTCTCATCATGATCATGGCCACCATGCCAGAAAGGAAGAGTACAATCATCAGTGAGTTAATGATGGAGAACCAATGGATCTGATCATCATTCATGAGGAGGTATGTGTCCCACCGAGATGCCCATTTTATGTCACTCTCCTGTCAAAGACCATGGGCAAATCAAAGAATTAGGCAATAAAAGGAAAAGAGAGAGAGAGAGAGAGGGAGAGAGAGAGAGAGAGAGAGAGAGAGAGAGAGGTGAGAAGAAGAGGGTACCTTGAAGGTAACATCATATGTGAACAAAACAGCCTTGCCTGTCTCAACTTCTTGTGGAACAGCACTACCTTGAACTAGATTTTTGGTATCCTTATTGCAAGTCGTCACCTGAGGATTCTTCTCATTCCATTCCTTAAATTCATGATTTATGCTGTTTGGAAAAGCAAAGTAAATAGACATGACAAAGATTTAAAAGCAAGCCAGTATATAGAGAATATTTCCCAAAATAGCTTGTTAAATGCACAATCCCATAGAACATGTAGTAATGAATGTTTATACCAGATCAAAACTCATTAGCATTTACATGAGGAAGTGCATCACGGAACTGCCATTGCTTTAAAGCAGGATTTTTCAAAATGTTAACTAAGACTTGCCATTTCAAATATCGAATTTCAACAACAAACAATAGAGGTCTATTTGAAAGTTAGAACTCCCAACAACTGCATATAAGCAAACGAACTGGAAAACAAATTCTCTTCAAGCAGTGGTAGGCATGACAAAAACTTGACTTTGCAGAAACATCCTCAAGAACCCAGCATTTCCCTTCCCCACTTTCCCTGTTTCTAGGTTGATAATTCAGTTGCAAACTAAAATAAAGAATCCATAATTGCAAAAAAACTACCCTTAGAAGAACACGGCTCAGTAAAATGTCATAACAAAAAAAAGTAACAAAAGTTGAACAAATGCAGTTAAGAAATCAGCAGAACACCTGTTTGGAGAAACCTCAAACCCCACAATCCGAGCAGAGTCAGTTTCATGATCTCTGTGATACATGACTCTAAAGCTTAAGTGATTGTTGATAAAGTACTTTTCCTCCTTGCTCTGTAAAGACAAATAAATGGTTAAAACAACAGCTGCATCAAAGTTCTATATTGACACTAGCTCTTGATAACATACCCCAGCATAATTCCCTTTAAACCCAACACGGAAACCATGTTCATAAGTTGTTGACTGACTTCCATCCCTCCTTTGCCTAAGAACAGCAACTGGAAGGTTATCAAGAATCCTGCAGATTAACTCTACATAGTTTAGCATAACATGCAAATAGGCATTATACGAACATAAAAAAATTAAAAATCATGCAAGTAAAATCACATATAACATGTCCAAAGAAAACCATTCATTACTTACATATTAACTCGATATTCATCATCGATTTTTTCCTTAAAATTTTTTGCTGATTCAGCATCAAGTGTTCTGTTGCAGGCTACTTTGCAAGGCTGATCCTCTATCATGTCAAACTGGGAAAGAAATCACAAATGTAGAATCATTGTAAAAGGAACCAGAGCAAAAACATGCCTGCATACTCATTTTCTGTTTGTTATCAACTATTGCTAAAAAACACCAAGAAGCTAGTCAAAGATGCTTACAGTATACACAGAATTCTCAATGCGGTCACCCCGAAGTACCTCCCCCAAATTTTCTGCATTGTTCAGAATCTTTTGTGGCTTACAATAGTTCAAGAAGTAGTAATCATATGGAAGCTGTGTCTTGGTAGAAGACAATTTGTTCACTTTGACTGGAAGTTGATCACCCTGTTAAGAATCAGGAAAAGAACCAAATAAGATTGTTACAGATAAAGAAAACTGAACCCCAAGAAGAAGATCTCTGCCAAAATCCTCAAATGATAAAACACCGTCACAAACAGCAACAACAACGACAATACTAACTAAAAATAGCAGAAAATCTAGATCCGAAAGGAAACGTAAAACCCAATAAAGCAAGAAAACCTAGGAACAGATCAAGAAAAATAAACGCAGATACTACAGATCGAACTCGAAAAACCCTAGATCCAACTTAATTAAAGCAAACAACTAAAAGCAACCATTGAACCCACTAAGCATGGTTAGACGAAAAGAATAATGAAACCCAGAAAAGGGGTGACTAATATCAAGGAGATGTAAACACCAAGATACACATTAGTTACAGAGAAACACAGAGGAAAACAGTACCCTTTGGAAATCTCGCGGAGCAACACCGGGAAGATAGAAGGATTGTGCGCCCGAGATTAGGAGCAGAGCGAAGAACAACGTTAACAACCTTGTACCCATTTCTGGCTCCTGTTCGTCGTCTTTTGCAGCTGGTAAATGGAGAAACGAAGCTTGGAGAGTGGTGTAGACGAAGAACAGAGGTTTTGCCTTTCGGAGTGAGACAGTGAGATGATATGTAGAGAGAGAAAAAATTTATATATTGATTTTATCCTTAGAGTTTTCCATTTATAATGTAATTGTATAATAAAAATGTGGTTTATAATCGTAAAGTTACTAAAATAATAAAAAAATAATAATATTAAGAATAGTTTCATAGATTATTTTAATAAATGAAATTGACGTAGTTATAATTATATAAAGTTATAAGTTTATAGTAGGATAGATTATATAATATAATTAATTTTTTATTTAAAAAGTTTATTTATAATATTAGATATATTTATTTAATAATATTATAATTATAAATTTATAATTATATTTGATATTATAATTATGGCATTAATGTTTAATATAAATTTATATATTAGAGAATAACATATTAAGTCTATTGATTCACCCATCAAATCTAAAAGTTTCGTTTATGTGAATTGAGAATTATACTCCAATTTTAATTTATGTGAACTGAGAGTTTTATTCTCACTTACTACTTAAATAAAAACCCTTCATTTCCCCCAAAAATTTTCCTATGTTCCAAAAAAAAAAAAATTATAGGTATGGAAGCAACTCTTTTTTTATACTTTCTATAATTGCAATTTACAAGTAAAATTATTAAGAATGTATTTGGTTTAAAAAAATAAACAAAGAGTAAAGGAGGAGTGAAATTTTTAATTAATTAAACTATAAAATTTATAAAAATATATAATATGATGGATTAAAAATTTTATTAATTCTCTCTCATCTTTTCTTCCGAATCAAACACATCCGAAGTTGGGTATGACGGGAGAGAGAAAAGCATTTTTGTCCAATAAAATTGTTACTTAGATGAGAGGTTTTTTACAGCCAAAATTTAAGAATCAACATTTTGCATACAACAAGGAGTTATGAGGGCATTTTTAGAATTTGGAGATTTTTAACCACAATAAGTTATGTTTACTTTTGTATGATTTTGGGTGTTAAAAACGTTAAAGTGCACTTAACTCATGCTACATGACAAGTAAGTGCAATTTTCCTATAAAAAGATTATGAATTCTCACGTCACAAGTACCAACCACATAAAATTAAAAATTTTAAGAAAGAGCAAACAATATTTATTGAAGTAAAGAAATTTAACGGAAATATGTTTGTTAATTAAATTTATAAAAAATTAAATAAAAAATTTAAATTATATTATTTTAACAAATTTGTATTTAAAATACTAAAATAATTTATTTTTAAAGTAAAAATAATATTATTTTAATTTTTTTGATACCTTATTAAAGCAATATAGTTTTAAAGTTTTTTTCCCTCTAAATATTTTGTAAGTGATGCTAATAAGTACTAATATCTGTAATTTAAAATGGCTAACCCCTAAATTTTACTTCTATCTATTATTACAACTAATAATTTTTACTCCATTCATCCCAGTCAATCCTCCACTAGGACTTTTAATTTTAAAAATGATATAGTCTATATTACAAAATATTGTAAATTTATTGTATCATTTTGTGATTAAATAGAGATTTATTTATATATAAATCTTACATAATATCCTTATATAAAATCTTAATCACTTATCTCTCTACTTTCAATAGTTGAAAGTCATTTACTTTTTATTTTGTTTATTAAAAATAATTATTTTTAAAAAAATTATGACAAACCTTAATAATTAAAAATAAAAAAAATAAATAATTAAAATTTTATATAAATATGATAATATAAAGTACATCTTATTATCTTTTTGTCAATAATTATGTGCGTCATTCTAAATGAACATAAAGCATATCTTCCTATCTTTTTTGTTAATAATTGAGATTTTCTTTGTTAAACTAATCAATTTAGCGTTGGATACTTGAATTCAAACCGAATCTTTAACTCCAATAATTCATACCTAAACCTAGTATTTAAATTTATTAGTCAGGTTTTGACCCCAATAATGTCTTGAAAAAATCTCCCTCCCTAAATTGTAGACAGTTCAAAAAGAAAAAAAATATCTAGTGTTGGGTTCTCCGCCAAATTTTGAGAAATTTAAGGAATGTGCAAATTCATGGCATGTTTGCATTGTCTTCCGACAAAGAAAGTCAATTAATGCATTAAAGATTTGCATTACTCTTAATAAATAGGGACAAATACTAAACATGGGTAAAATAAGAAATACCGTAAGATAATTTAATTAACTATTATTTTACCTATAATTCTAGAACACAAATTAAGAGATAATTATTATACTTTTTAGTAATTAATTTATATAAAAATGTAAATTTTAATTTTAATTTAATTAATTAATTAATTAAAATTCTACGCATAATAATTATATTAAAATAAATATTAATTTTTATATTTTTATGTAAATTAATTATAAAATAATATATTTATTATATTTTTAATATGTGCTTTTAAGACACATATCAAATAAACTCTTTAATTAAGGTGATAAATATTTTGAAACAAGAATAATTACTTATATAGTTATTGTTTGCGCCGCAAACACTCCCAATTAGGCGACCACCCTTCAAAATAATTCAAAAAGAACATTTTTTAATGACGGCCGTTAGAGTCAATAGTTAATTTTGATATCCATGATGCGAGAAGTCAAAGGACCCCAACAAACAACTTTAAGGTTGTAGGGAGACCCCAATAAACCTTGAACGGAAAATTCTCACGACATTAAATATCAGTTTACCTCTGGTTGGTTGGTCCTTTCCTTCCGGCTGAAGAGACTAGTCTTCTAATCCATGATGGGTTGCAATACAATAGCATTGATGCGGAGGCTACACATCCAACGACAAAAAGGAATCATCTCCGAACCAACCCACCCTCACTTCTACACCAAGCAAACTCCCATTACAAACACGATTCAATTTTAATGCCTGAACACTTTTCATAAAGATTGGGGACATCCACGCCCCATTTTGGACATATCTTGTGGGGCAAACCCTACAAAATTGGTATCAAGATTTCATCCCTACGTATGACATTTAAGTGTGGAACACTCCGAATTAGGAACTGAGTGTAATGAAGAAAGAGTGCAACAGAATAGTGTTCGGGAATTAAAAGGATAGTTAACTGGTAAGCGTTATGCTTCAACGGAAATAGCATACAATTGCAACTTGAAGGTTTTGCTGGAGTTAGATTAAGTACTCAAGTTATGTTACCACTTATCTAGTTTTATTCACAGCCAAGTATGTGAGATTTAAACTTTTCCAGCTCGGCTAGGACCTCCTCTGCAGGCCGGTAAATCAAGTCAAGCATCCGCCATATCTGCGACAAAA